AATTATTTACAATTTTGATTGTCAAAAATCATTTTCGCCATTTAAATTTATGCCAAAATATTTTTGACACCCATGTATAAAGCCGAAGAAGATCCAGATGCTTATTTGCCTGCTTTGCCGCCCGATCTTCTTGCAGAACGACAGAGAAAAAAAGCAGCTAAACTAGAACAAAATGTTGACTCTCAACATAACGGAGCTGCTAAACTCAAAAGACGCCCATTTGGACCAGCATTACCGAATCCCACTGAATATTTAAATTTTGACGAGGAAGAGGAAGAAGAAATTGTTATTGGCCCAGTATTACCTGAGAACTTTGAAAAAGACAAAGATGATCTTATATTACAACAGACAATTCAAGAGTTCGAAGAAAGAGCTGAAAAGATGCGTCAAACATCAGAGGTAAGTCTATATCTGGTTTAATTCATATTCATATAAACATTTGTTTTGTTTAATGAGCTTTATTAAAACAAAATTCTTTGACAAATTCTACATTATTTTATTTTAAGCCTGACAATAAAGCTGACAAACCTTTACAACGTGGAGAATGGATGCTCGTGCCACCAGAATCAACATTTTTAGGAGGTTAGTGTACACATATTTTTTATTTATTTAAGTCTTGACAAGTCATTTCACATTTCGATGTTTCAGAGACGCCAACCAACATGCGTTCTCGCCAATTCAAACAAAGGGCGCATGATCCAGAAAAAAAAGACAATTCACTTTGGACAGAAACTCCTGCCGATAGGCAGATAAGATTACAAAAAGAAGTACGCACTTAAATAGATTTCACATTATTTATGTGTGATAACCATTTTATTATACGATTAATAGATTACTGGTCAAAAACGTAAACACGAAAAAGAAATGGATGATGATCCGATAAAGTATTCACGTGTTGATATTGAGAAAGCAGAAACTATAAAAGCATATAATGTAAGTATTTACTTCGTTCGTCCATACGCATAATCGACGTCATTACAAACATTTTCCTTCCTTTACTTTCAGGAACTACATCGACCGAAGTCTCTTTTAGAGACTCATTCTGAAGATTATAACAAATCGCGTAGATGGAAAGCAGATGATGTTAGCAAACGTCCATTTGATCGCGAAAAAGATGTATTAGGTTCACGTCGTATGGATTCACGTAAACGCAAAGAGTTTATAGATAATTCAAAAGAATTGAGCTCCAAGTTCGGACATGGGAAAGGTGGCGTATTCTTGTAACAGGCACATGTTTGTTACAATTAACCATAATACAATTTCACTATCAGAGCTGGACTATGACATTAAATGAAATAATGATAATACAACACGGGACACTTTAAACAGCAAGTAAAATAGACGACTTTTAAATTGTAATTAATA